TATAGCCATCAGCTTTTAGAATAAAAATATTATATGCACACCCCTATTGGTTTTTAGTATAAAAAAGGAGATGGAGAGAGAGCTCCGTAGTAAAGACCACAACTATTCTTGCAAAGGATCCAAATCTATTTATAGCACCTGCACAGGGCTGCTTACAACCACCTGTAATTCCAGCTCTAGGTGATTTGAAGCCTTTGTCCTCTGTGGGCACCTGCAACCATATGCATATACTTATATACATATGCATAATTACAAAGTAACTAAAACATAAAGTAAATAAAAATAAACAACAGCAAAAGAATTCAGTGTACTTAAAAAAATTAGATGCTAAGTGGATACCTACTAAGTAGGGTACACTAGACAGACCACTCCCCACTCCTCCTAGGCCAGGGACCAGAGCTCCACAGAAGCAGGACCTTAACTAGTATACATCTCCTTTTTACAACATTAGTCAACTAACTAGCTAACTTCTGGAATAAATATCACTTCTTAGTTGGAGAATTTTACTCAATAATAATTTTATTTATTCATCTTTGAACTGTCTTATTTCAAATACTTACTTGTATAACATGAAACAGACAAGTTTTAAGACAAGATAAATCCGTATGAGTAAATGTGTATTTTCAATCCCTCCCCCACAAATACTCAGTCCTAGGGTGCTTGGCTAAGTCCTACGTCATTGAAACTACTCAGCTAATAGCTACAAGACAAAGAAATTCAAGACAGAACTAAGGCTGGAAAAATGGTACTTAATTTTCTTTTCTATTGGTGAGAAGTAGAGGTCAGAGAAAATACAATGGGTGGAAATTCTACAACAGAATAAAATGTTTCAAGGGAAGTCATAAGCTCTACTTTAGAAAGAATTAATATTTAAACAATAAGCAATAAGAAAAACTGTTTTGTAAAAGTAGTCTAGAATAGAAGTGGAGGAAGGGAGGGGTAGAGGGAGAAGGAGAAATTATTTCTGCCTATTAAGGAATCAGAATGAGGCAAACATTTATAATGTCTGCAACAACATTCAAGGACCAGAAACACAAGCAAGAAAGAATATGCTTGGATTAGCAGTGTTTATATACTGGTATTTTCCCCATACTTCCTTTAGAAAGACCATCTATTTAAATTTTCCTGGCGCAATACCTAGCAGCTAATGAATCACCGAGAAGGTATTTATATTTATAAAGTAAAAGAACAGTAATTCATATAAGATTTAGATTTTTGAGTTTTAACTATAAACAAACATTGACAGGTTCATGCTACATTAGAAAACTTAGAAAGCATAGAATAAATTAACAGGTTGATGAGAAAAACCTCATCAGAATCCTTGAAACAGAACTGAAGTTATTGCATGGACTTGTCTAAACTTACTCCTGTTTCTTTATTTTTAATACCAGTTAGGTATCTTCTTAGAGTATTGTCAGGTAGCTATTCCTCTGAATTGAAACATTTGTCCCCCAGGGAGGAGACACCTTCTTGAGACTCACAAAGCTAACAAAACCTACAAGGCTCACCAAGTTGCAAGACAAAGCTGCTCCTCCAGCTTATAAAAACAGTGGGCAACAGAGACTCCCTTCAGTGGAACTGACTGCATGTTGTACAGTGAGCTCCATCATGGAGCTTTGGAAATCATAGTGGGGTGAACTTTTCTGTGATACAGCTGCCTCTGAGTCAAAGATGCTTGCAAGGAGCTCCAATAAACTCACTGGCTCACTGCTTCAAGCATGACTTGGGTGGAACCTCTTCTGTGTGTCACTGATGACATGTCTTGTGTGATCAATGTTTGCTTTCAAGTCACACCAAGCAAAGGCACACAATTGAGCTGATGCTCAAGCAGGGGCCAGAATCTAAGATGAATTGGGAGGAAGGCAGTCACAAGTCTCTGCAATGGGTGATAAAACTGTGTCTGATGTCTGAAGGTGATTCTGAAATGGTTACCCTTCTCCATGTGGTATGGGACGGTGGCTTCTCTCCTAGAGTGGGATGTCCACGCTCCCTGAAATGAGTGATGAGACATGCAACCATACTGAAGCCATCTTAGAGGCCAGTGGCCTCAGGGGGGAATCCTACAGTATCTTTCTTCCTCTATGTCCTATAGTGTGACATACTTCCTTGATGAATAGGGTCTCTTATGAGTATAGGGATGCTCCCTAAATGTCTGGTAAACTTAACAATATATTGCAATTGCTGGAAGTAGCACAAATAGACGAGGGTCATAAGCAGGGCTGTTGCCTGGGTGTTGGTTTGGGCTATAAAATGCAATGGAGTCTCAGCTGTTTATTTAGAAAGAACCTGCCCATGGAAAAGAATTACAATGAGAAAACATATAGGTGCAAAACTGAAAGATGGGATGGATGCAGAGCAAAAAAGTAGAAATTAGAACAAGCTTTTCCTGGTATCTAACATGGAAAACCATAGGAAGAGTAAGATAGGGAAAGGATGCCCAATAAAAAGGGAAAGCATGAGACAGAAGACTCCCCTCGGTGCCAAGCTTTACCACAGAGGACAAGAAAATGCCCAGTTCAGCATGCAGAAGGTCTAGTACAGCAAATTATTACAAGCAAAGAACATTCTGCTTCTGAACTGCTCAGGATGTGAAAGCTTTTAAACAAGTAATGGAGGAGTCACCCACAGCTTGGTTCATAACGCTGCGGGAATGGGACTGGATGGCATCCACCTGAATGCTGGGACAGCATAAGACACTGAACGACACAATAACCATGCCTCCTTGAGACTAGCTGCATGAGCCAAGGAAGTGAGAAAATCAAGGCTGGCTCCTGTGAGACACCTGGTATTATCAGTTGAGGTCCCCTGAGTTTCAGGGGCTGGAGGACATCAAAGTTAGGACTTTAAGGCCCAGGAGGCTAAAGAAACTTACTAAGCTAGTGAAATTGCAAGATCCACAAGGTCAAGGTCATGAACACAGTAAACAATTGCTTTATGGTTTCCATGCTCCATTATTACATGGACATCCTTCCAGACCTCATTTCTAATGATGAAGAGATGTTAAAAAAAAATAACTTTGTACAGTAAGATTCTCTATTGGGTCACTTAGGAATGCAGACTTAGGGGGATTTTGGAAAGTCATACTAAGAGGAGGACGATTCCTCACAGTGTGACCACGGGTTGTATGGGAAACTCCACGATGAAGCTTTTGTGAGTTTTCACTCGCACTGCGATGGGAGTCTTTTGTGATGCAGCTGCCTTTGAGCCAGCCATGGTCTTGTAGGCAACCCCAAAAAACCTAAAGGGTCACTGATTATAACTTGATTGGAAATGTTGGCTTGTAGTCAGTTCCATACCTAGGGTGAACAGATATTTGTTATTTCCTCTGAGAAAACTCACACAACAGGTATGTTTCCATCAAATTATTCCCTGTATATCCCAGAGCATAAAGGAGTATGTGGGACCCAGCAAATTCAATATTTCACTCTATCTGTACACTTATACTATTGAAAACAATTATTTGACCATATTCCAGTACTGGTAATTGTCAGGTGAAGTGCGTCTATTCCAGTTACCTAAGATTCTAGACCTAAATTGAGCTCACATCTAAACTCTGTGCTCTTTCTTCCAGTTGGAGTCTGCTAGTCCTCAGGGAGGAAGCATTCAGAAATTAGGCTAGACAAAGAGGTGGGTCCGAGGGGGCCTGACTGTCCATAGACAGATGGTGATACAGAATAACAACAATCACAGAAAAGACAACCACTTAGCTGGTGACTTAAAACAAAAATTAGACTTGGCTGCGTCCACATTAACCTGCAGCCAAAGAATTGGTGGATCACACACTTGATAATATTCTCAGAATGCTATCGTACTGAAACACACGTTAGAGTGCCCCATGGGCATCCATTATAACTATATTATAACAGCTCCGAGCTGTTAACTATTTTATTTAGCATTATGCATTTTTAAAAGCAAATTGATTCCCACACTAACATTATTTTCATAGGCTCTACAATTCCATTGCCCCTCATATGAAAATACTTGGCTGTTTCTACTGTCAAAATTTAGTAACTGGAGACCATTTTCCTAATTTATCATTTTTCTTGATCCCTAATTAAGAATATTTGTGATCTCTCTCAGCTTAAGGCACCAACAGTCTTGCAACACATCCTACTCCAGTGGAGTAGAAACACTGGGTAGTATGGAAAGATTTAGTTTAGGTTTTATGGATTTGACTTTCCTTGGCTGATCTGTTGTCCATTTTACAGTAAAATAAAGTCATGGAATATATTTTGCTTTTTTTGTTTGTCCTTAAAATTAAACTACAAAGGTTCTTCTGTGTCTGCATGAAGCTGCTTACTGGCATGACTGGTGTAGATCTTTTGTTAGTTATCACAGATACAACAGAGGAGAGAAACTGATGCTTCGTTGGGTGCTTTATGGTTGCCATACTCCATTGTTATATGGACATCCTTCCAGATTTTATTTTTAATGCTGAAGAGATGTTGAAAAAAAACATTGTACAGTAATCTCTACTGGATCACTTATAAATCCAGACTTAGGGGGATTTTGAAAATTCATACTAATCTATGATACAATTAATATTTGGCATGAAAATAATAAGAGCTTAATATTTTGCTTTTTAATAACAGGACTTTCCTATATGAGAAGAGAAACATACCTAACCCGAATTTTTCTAAGTATTCTCTTTAATACATAAAGCATTTTATAGACAATATTTCTTTGTTTCTCTCTCTCATAAGGTTTAGATTATGGTTAATATCTCATGACACCAAAAGTAATACTGCAACAGATATTAAAGCATTTTTTCAGCCACTTATTCTATAAAATATTAATTGCAAGCCTGTGCATGTGCTGTCTATATAGGGGACTGGGTAAGACAGTTTCTGCTCAGGTCTAAATCAATAAAAGATAACATGCAGAGCATCAATCTTCATCTTCTCTCCCTTCAGTACATACTACCTGCGGGTGAAGATTTTAACAGTATCTTTAAGTACCTGTGATGACACTACAAGCCAGAAGACTTGAGCAACACTTACCTAGGAAGGACAGGTTTTTCTTCAGAAGCAAGTCTCTCAGCAGGACTTCATGCTCATAGCCAATAGCACTAGACATTTCAGTTAAGGACGCAACACACAAAGCAGGGCTGAACAATCAGGAAAATTTCAGTTCCAAGTCTTTATGTTGAGATGAGATGGAGAATAGTGGTAATTACACAAAAGACATACTAAGACGCTCTCACCTCTGAGGAAGGAAAAATTTTTTTAATTTAAATTCTTTAATTACCACTCATATTTACATATCTATCCCCCCCATTCCCTCACCCTCCCATCCTCCCATGTTTTCCCCCCCTAACTCCATCCCCTAACTCCTCCCCAGGGATAGTGAGGCCCTCCACCAGGGACCTTCAAAGTCTGTCATATTGTCTGGGGGAGGGCCTAGGCCCTCCTTGCTGTGTCTTTGCTGCAATAGTATCCCTCCATGGGGAATGGACTCCCAAAGTTCATTTGTGCTCTAGGGTTAAAGACTGGCTCCACTGTTAGAGGTCCCATAGACTGTTTTGGCCTCCTAGCTGGCACCCACATTCAGAGGGCCTGGTTCGATCCACTGCTGTTTCCCCAGCTTTATGACTAGGGTTTCCATGCTCTCAGTAAGTCAGATCAACTGTTTCTGTGGGTTTCTCTAGCACCATCTTGGCTCCTTTGTTCATCCTTCCTCCCTCTCCACAACTGGATTCCAAAGTATGGTTCAGTGCTTAGCTGTGGGTTCCTGTTTCTGCTTCAAACAGCTGCTGGATGAAGGCTCTAGGAATGGTAACCAAGGTAGGCACCAATCTCATTATAGGGGAAGGGGATCAATGGCATTTTCTCCACCACTGCTTGGATTCTTAGTTGGGGTCATCCCTGTGGATCCCCTAACATGTTCCCTGTGCCAGACCTCTCTCCAAACCTATACTGGCTCCCTCTATCAAGGCATCTTCTTTCTTGCCCTCCTCCATTCCTCCCCTGTCTCAGTCCTCTTGTTCTCCTCCTCCCTCCCCTTCTTCCCTTCCTACCTCCAGAGGAAGGAAATTTCTATACACACTCTTCCCTCATTTAAGTAAGCCAGCAGAATTTTTCTGTAACACATACAATTTGGCAAACAATGATTTATAAATCACTGAATTTAATTTCTTTTAAAAAGAGGGGTTCCACTTAAAATATTAATTTGTATTTAAAAAAAGCAGCCCTCAAATTCAATTTAGTATATATTAACGAAACACTAAGTACAAGAAAGAGCAGTAACTAACCAGTCTTTGCCCTAACGGTTTCCAATCTTAGAGTCCTAGAAACCTGGGAGAGCCATTTGCCAGTCATCAGCTCTTGCTTCACTTCCAGGGGTAGAAAGGCTAGTGACTGTGTGTGTGTGTGTGTGTGTGTGTGTGTGTGTGTGTGTGTACGCGCGCGCACGCGCGCATGCACACTCACGTGCACGCACACTTCATTTTTAAGCACATAAACAAATACAAATGCACATGAACAGATGTGCACAGGAACATGTAAACCGTTCCAATGCTTTCTCCATGACAGACATCCTCAAGTGATTTAAGTATGTGATTCCCCTCCTCACAAGTATAAAAAGGTTTGTTTCAGTAGACAGGGAAAGGAAATCATAGAAGAAACCGCACAAAACCAGCTAATGTATGGGAAAGTCAAAGATGAGGGTTCAGGGTACAACATAGTGGTATAGTGTTTGCCTAGCACTCTTGTTAACCTCTAGCAATGAAGAAAAACAAGTAAAGCCAGGAAAGAGCTCTCTATCCAAGGCCCATGTTTGATCACACACCTTTTCCAAAAGCATCAGAATTATGCAACACTGGCTACTACTCAATGCTTCCTAAGGACCACATATGCTTCATGCTAAATCTTTAAGGATTCAGCTAAATGCATAGCCTAAGGCTTTATGCTAAACACCCTGAGATGTTACTTGAATCTTCACAACAACTTCAAGAGTAGATAATTTTAGTCCCATTTTCTCAGTCATGTAAAGGAAAATTCAGAAATGCTGAGGACTGTGCTCCAGGTCCAGTGGCTCATAAATACTGAAGCCAGTGTCAGACCTTTGAAGTTTGCTTTCTTCTGAAGGAAAGAGACCATACTAAGTCTCAAAAAATGTTACACTATTCCGGTCCTTCACTCCACTTTGAAGGCATTAAGTAGAAGCAGTCAGTAGCTGGGGATCACTTCCTTCCGTGTCCACCCCACCAAACCCCACAATATCAACATGGGTGTAGCACTCCTTGACTTACCAGAGACGGTTATCCTGATCATGCATTGCAAGCATCCAACTTAAAGACAACTTATATATCACTAGCAAAAAAACAACAACAACAAATCCTAGAAAATTATCCTGCCCTTTCTCAATGGGTTACAGGTGACTGTCCTTTAAATCACCTAATTCAAGAAACAGTCACTTTTGTCCATGATCAAAATAAGGCTGAAGTCACTATTACTGCCCTACCCTGTTTTGTTTTTGTTTCTCTTCCAATGCACATGACTGCGCTTATTTCATTTTTAACTAGATATAAACAAAAAATTTAAATCATAGAATTTCACACATTTTCTGAGTCCATTGAAGACATTTGATGGATAAGTCTCAATGGTCTCTCATTACTAGGGTATTCCACATTTTCAAACTAAATTATTTACTTCTTTCCACATAAATGTGCTCTCACTTTTATTGTTGTAAATTATTTACATCTAAAATGTTGATTCATGAAACTGAGGTTACTGATGGTACAGAAATGAAACCCACAGCCCCTGATGCTTCCTGCGTCATCATCTCCCCTTGCTTCTCTCTTCAGACCTTTATCTAATAGCCGTGGCCTAGAGTGCCACTTAGGAAAGTTGAAGTGGCTGCTTTTTTCATGGAGTTTGCTTGGTGGATATGAGATGGAGAGGCAAAGATATGGGGGCAGGGACTTCAACGAAGACACATACTATACAAAATAAATAAATAAATAAATAAACAAACAAACAAATAAATACAGCAGGCACCAAAAGAAAAATAAGCACCCTGACAAGACATCCTCTTTACCATTGTGCTTGGTGTGCCATTTTAGTAAGTGACCAATTTACTTTAGTCTCTGAACATGAATTCCTACATATAACATTTTCATAATAGAGTAAGGAGGTTTTGCATCTATTCCATTTACCAAATGTGTGCTTTCTTTGTAAGAAACTGATGTACTTCAGTGAGGATAAGCAAGGGAAACAAACAGTACCAAAATTATCAGGACCACACAGAAGAGCATTTGTCACTTACAAAGGAAACTAATAATTTCATTCAGTGTGAAATAAAATGATTACTGTTGATCAGTCTAGGAAACATCTTTGCAAACTTATTCACACCACTATAGAAATGACACCACTTCAATGCAAAGATACAATCAGTCTCCCCAGACACTCTCCAGCCTGTTTTACTTCATATAGATACTGCAATCACCAATTTTACATTTTGGAAAGATATAATTCTTGATTATGCTTTGTTTGATATAGACATAAAAATGCAAGGTCTATAAAATAAAGTTTATAAAATTTTTACTGGTAATAAGCATAATGGAACTGAAAAGTTAGAATCTAGTCATTGATTACAATTTATACACATTCATCATTATATTTATCAGTTGAAATTATATAGTCCATTAAATCCTACCGACAATACACAGCCATAAGAGAACATGAATGACTGCAAAAAAATATATATATACAAGGAAAATATTCCAGACAGAATTTATAATGCTCCATAAGCAGAAACACTTAGACACTGTCTATAAGGATACCTATTATTGATGTATGGTAGTGACCATGGGGCAAAACTTGTAAATAACCTCACAAGCCATTTTCTTTGCCAGCAATACAGCAATCTAGTTTCCCGTAAGCGTCTCAACTATTACTGAAAAATAGCCTCCTGGCATTTACAAAGCAGTTGACTTCATACTTTAGTCCATGCATATATAATTACAGAGTTATATTTAAAATCAATATGCAATCCTTCAAAAGACATTATGCTTTTAAAACCTTAACTTTAAATTGATTTTTAACTATTTTATGTGCTTTGAAATTAGCATGTAATTCAGCCCTAGACACTCTGAGATGGTGTCAATTGTTATATAAATGTGCTGAAGTTTATCACTGAGGCGCTCCTACAACTTTTAACACCTCCATTAAATTCACACCAAAAATAGAAGCATAGTTACACTTTAGTCTAATTAAAAAAAAAAAAAAGCCAGCTTTTGACAATATCACGATTTGGTTCATTTTAGTTAGGGGACCAGATCAGAGAATGCATCTTGCTATGTCCTAGTTACTCAATACTCTTGCAAGAGGGTTCTCTATTCAAAGATTATGCCACAATGTTAACTGTCTCTTTAGGAAAGAAAGGAATTTTTTTTTCTCAAAAAATTTGAGCCAGGTGTGACAATACACACTCATAATCCCAACACAATGGGACTGTGCAATGGAGGCAGGTGGATTGGGAGTATAAAGCCAGTCTGGACAACATAGCAAAACCATGCCTCAAAAATGTCTTTCGAACCGTCTCTAAGCCTTCGTGAAACTAGAAAAATGTAAGTAAATATACACACGCATAAACATATATATGCATATGTAGATATGCACACACATATATGCACACATGTGAATATGAATACACACATACATGAATGGATATGCACACACATATATGTACATGTGTAGAAATACACACACACATACTCAGCTGCAAGAGAATCCAACAAAAATTCTGACTGGTGATCACTGAATCACAGCCGGCCTCTGTGACATTCCTGCTACCAAAATCTAGCCCAGGAAGGCTGTGTTTTAAATAATTTCTACTAAAGATGATGACTATTGTTATCAAAATTCTCATTGTCATGACATTTTGTTTATTAATAAGCTCTACTAAAATTGTTGCCATTCACCCAACCTTATTTTAAGAAGTAAGTATTGACTCCTAATGAATTTCAGTGGCTTTAATAACAAATGAATGGATATCTGCTGTCACAGCCTTAAAGTTGGTCCCAAGGGAAAAATTAGCAGGGTTTCTCAAAAAATGTTTCTTAGGGATCCAAATGACAGTTCAGATTGAAATCAGTATTTAAGCAAGGAGAGTCTAGTGCCCTTTAAAATATGGTGGTCTCTGGTGGCATTTTAATAACATCAACCTTTAACTCCAGGTTCAAAATTTATTCTAGAACACTCAACTGAATTTGACTCATTTTAAATGGAACTTTGTTATATTTTTAAAAGTGGCCACTGGGCTGGTTAGATACATTCCAAGACAGTGTGTTACCTGCCTAATGACTCTGCACCTTTCAACTCATTGAAAACCAAGCAGTTTGAAATAAGCATGCGGACGTACATCTGCTGAACTGACATCTTCCTGTGGCCTAGCTGATCTTTCCTAAGCTGGAGAAGAGAATGGACTGCAGTGACCCTCCAGCTGATTGAATGTAAAATAGGACAGTATGAAATGTGTTTTGTGAAGCAGAACTTTATGTCAGGTTAAAGCTAGACACATCTCCTCCACTGAGTCTAAGCTCGTCAATTGTGCACCTAAAATTTTATGGGGAAGGATACTGCTTGATGCAGTCCACTAGCGGTCCATAACAGCAGTCGTTCACGATGCACTGCGGACACATAACAGAAGGGTTATAGGCTGGGGGGACTACAAACCCCACCACGGTAAACATTCTAAAAGCAGTCATTACTTCCTCCCCTCCATCACCACCCAAAAGAAAGCTATCAAAAGGCTATTCAGATTTAATCACAGAAAACAAAAATTGCATGCCTTTTATTTACTATAAAAGCAAGCTATTAAAAAGTAAAATGCTCTCCTTGAAAATATTGCATTGCCATTTATGGTGCGCCCTGACCTCAGTGATAGTTTATGATGACAGTAATTAAATGAGGTTTAAAATCCTCTACTCGGCTAGGCAGATAACAGCATCGCCACTGAAAACAGCTGTGATTAATACCTGATAGACCTGGTTGGCTAGAACTCCATCTGGAATCTGAGAAGGGTCCCGTAGCATATTATTTATAACAGACTTGGAGGCTGTAGAAGGAAAGAGATGAACTATTAGCAGAAAGTCAACACACTTTTAATATGACACAAGAAGCGACGTATACAAAGGTACATATAGACCATGAAAAGAAAAACAGTACTGGTACTGATCATTTCCCGGAGATTTTCATCTAAGAGAAGCTCTTAATTAGATCATTTTTTGCCAAGTATTTGTAAGCTACATTGCCAGATTTGACAGTGACCTGATTTTTTCCAAGGTAAATTAACAAGTGTAGACCTAAAGCATATGTCTATTTGCAGACTAATCAGCTTTGGAAAAGCCAACTTTGGGAAAAGAAAAACCCAACAGCAATAACCAGAAAAGAATAACTTTTACAGGTAGAGATCTTATTCCCAAGCAACTGTATGTGTACAAGTTATCTAGGGCAGGCCAGACTCACAGGCTTCACTAATGCCAATAAAAACATCTCTCAATACTAAATCTGTCCAAAATAATTCCCATCAACTGCCACCAGTTGTTATGTCCATTTCACAGGTGAGGAACACAGGTAAGACAGGCTTATAACTGTGGGAATCTGAAATGGGGAAAAAGTGTGTGTGTGTGTGTGTGTGTGTGTGTGTGTGTGTGTGATGGTACTGTTGTGTTCTTGTATCCATTATTTGCAGGACCCCTGATGGAGGCCATATTCTATGGATGCTCAATTTCCTTATAAGATACACTAAAATATTAGTATATAATGTATCCCACAATCTGCCATATGCTCTGTCTTTAGATTGCTTGTAATCTAACTCAATACAAATGGCATGTAAACCATTGTTATACTGTCTTTAATGAGTAAGAAACATCTGTATATGTTGAATACAGACACAATTTTCTCCCTTGCATTTCCTATTAGTAGTTGGTAGAGCCTTCTGGGTGGAACTTATGAGTATAGAGAGTCTATCATTTGGGGAGGGCAGGGTGGATAGGAAATAGATATGGTTTATATGTAAATAAATTTTCCACCCCAAATATGTCTCATCCCCCTGTAAACTAGTCTGAAATCCCAGGGACTACCACATTAGAAGAAAGGCAGAATGGAAAGCATCAAGAGATGGGTGTATGTGAGGTACAAAGCTGTGAAAGCCGTGGAGAACATCCTGGTCTTGCTTTTCTCCTGGTGCAAATCAATTCTGTCTTAGGGAATGAACCATGCAGAGACTGTTTGAATGTCTCTTGCACTATTATCTAGTTAAGAAAGTTAGTAAATGTCATAGCTGTGTGCCATTTTAGTACTTGGATAATTTTAAATTTAGTTTTATTATCATGTTCTCTATCAACTTCAGTGTCCTTGGGACACTGACAGATACAAGATATGATAGTAAACACTGTGGAAAGAAAGAAGACAGCATCCTTAGTATAGAACTGATTTAAAAAATCATTTTAATTATTATCTATGCTACTTACATGACTGTATGCTATAGCATCACTGATACATGTGACAGAAATTTGCAAACACATGTTTGCACTAATGGGGAGAGCCCGTATGGAGTCTCCAAAGAGTATCACCAAGCTTTCTTTTCCAATCCTGTCTTGCAACCAGTTCTGCAACCTAGCAAACAGTGTGGCCCCTTGCATTCAGGGACTTCATCTGTAAGAAGTGATGCTATTATTTGAGTTGACTACTCTAAGGAGTTCTCATGTGAGTCTCTTGAGAAAACAGCTGCCACATCATTTTGTTAAATTTCAAGTAGTAGTCTGAACCAAATGAGACTTAAGACATTGGCTGGGTTTTATAAACTTGGGCTATACTCAATTATTTTTGACAGAAATTACCATGGATAAGTGGTATGGATCCTGAGAATATGAAACAGTAACCCATCACCTTACTTAGGAACAGATGATGTGGGAACAGGACTAAGGAGACAACAATGTGCCTGGTGAACCTGCCCACTTTCCCTAGCATAATTCTAAAACCTAGCCAGATGGTGAAGATCAAAGCAGTTGTTCACATGTGTGGTCGCCTTCTCTGAGAATACCTCCTTTGGTCTGCCACTCATTTGCAGATGCTAATGGCACATACATCTTTCTATGTTACCCAGGGAAACAGGAGCCTTCTCTGTGCACACCTGGTCATAAGGTGCAAAGGTGTTACAATGTAAATTCATTCCCATGTGAAGAAAACATTATTTATAGGCAAGTGTGACCCAAAGTGCTAGCCAGTGGAAAATTACTGACCTCCTAACAAATTACATGCAAATCCACTGTTCAAATAATTTTTAAAAGCTCTTTTTCAATACGAGAGTCAATGTCCCAAGACCTGAGAAATGTAGGTCATTTATTTTGAGGGGGAAAACAGAAAATGTCAAAAAAGAAAGTAATGCTTTTAATTTTATCATAACAGAAACCCTTGAATGGTGTGCTTCTTAGGATTCAGTACTATGGTCAATAAACTTTTTTTCAAAACATCACTTGAGGGTTGGGGAGATAGATGGCTTAGTGGTTTCAGTGCTTGCCATGCAGGTCTGAGGACCAGAGTTTGAATCCTCAGAATCCATGTAAATGCCAAGAGTGAATATGGTGGCCTTGTTGTACAGTGCTCAGAAGGCAGAGTGAAGTTGCTAACAAGAGTAGCCAAGCCATATGGGTGAACTCTGGGTTTGCTTAAGAGACCCTGTGAACGAAGAGGACGAACAACTGAGGATGATCTTCAAAATCAACTTTGGGCTTCCACAGGTGTGTGTGTGTGTGCACATGTGCGTGCTCCTGCACAGTACACACATGCACACTCTCTCTCTCTCTCTCTCTCTCTCACACACACACACACACACACACACACACACACACACACACACACACACACACACACGAAAAAGCCACTTTAATATGTTGAAGAAAACATTACAAAACAAAGAACAAAATGAAGAATAAAACAAAGAAAGTTAGTTATTTTTCATTAAACTGTAAAACCTGAAAATTGATGTGTACTAATCTAGGCTGGGCATCCCTATGGTTTAGGGAACACTGTGGAAGAGGGGGTGGAAACACTCTAAGAGTTAGAGAAACAGGGTGCCTGCTGTGACATAGTGCCTTCTACACATGACAAGGATGCTGTACCCATGACACTTCATCAATGTGGCTGTCTAAAGAAGACCTACATAACAGCCACACATGTCAATATGGATCAGTGAAATTTCATGAGGACCTAGATGAAGAGTTCCAGGCAGTCAATGACTGTTGAGTGAGAAAGAAGCTGTTTTCTCCAGTGATGAGCCCCTTGATAGGTTTTCTGAGTTCTAAACACATGTACATAAGAGCAGCACTAACTGGGCCCAGTGTGGGCCTCCAGATTTTTTGACTATGGAGATAGAAAGCCTGTTCTCCCTTCCTGACACTTTGCACTGCAGCAGGGACATGATTTCACCTTTCTAGAAAGAAGGCACAAAATAAGAATTCAGGTCATTTGGAGTCATGTCCATAAGAACAACAGAGGGCAGGCACTGGATAAAGCATGTCACAAGAGATGGCAGCAATGTTTTGACTGAGGCAGAATGCTTAAGATTGTGAATGTGTTCGCTATACAAAGCTTGTAAGATAGGGAATGTATAAAATCAGCATAATGAATACTCATGCAGTAGCTGGGTGCTTTGACCCCTGTATTTATGTCTACTTCATGTACTTTAGTATTAATTTGTATAAACTTTTCTGTTACTCACATTTGGACTTCTCTCTACTATCTTACTTTTTATGTTCTGTCGCTCATTCTTTCTCTTCTCTTTGTCAACTAAGTTTTACTCATTTTTTTTTTTAATCAAGTTATGTCTTTGAAAGCAACATGTTCTGGACCTATTCCTTTTGTCATCCTCTCAAAGAAGTATCTAATCTTTGACATTCTACATGTAAGAAATAAGATGGTACCATCAGCCTTCTCCACCGGGTCTAAGAGTTGAACTAATCTCTGAGAAAAGAGATATGAATTCAGAGCTCAGCTTGACCTTTCACCTATTTAACAGAATAATGATATTAGATTCACACCTGAGTATGTGAGCTCCTCAACCATGAGGTTTTGCTAGGATTTTCAGTATCAGATATGTGTTCCCTCCTGTAGAGTAGGGCTTAAATCCAACCAGAAAGTGGTTGGTTACCACTGTAACATTCATGCCACTATTGCACCCATGAGCCTATCTTTCCAAGCTTATCATTATGATAGTTCACAGAGTTTACAATGGCATAGGTTAAGACCCTTGGTGACCTCTTCTCCCCAGCAGCCTATATAGCACCTTCCAGTACTATGAAAGCTAGCCATAGGGGAAGAAACTTGCTGGTTAGTACCAACTTGAATCTTTCATGTCCCGTGACCAATGTAATTATTTTCCCTTAAGAGTTCCCATCTACACACACACACACACACACACACACACACACACACACACACACACACAGAGAGAGAGAGAGAGAGAGAGAGAGAGAGAGAGAGAGAGAGAGAGAGAGCACACTTAGTTGTTTTCCATTTTTAGAGGAAAGTAGAGTGGTAGAGGAAAGTGCTCTACAGCTGTGCTATATCCCTAGTACTTTCTATTTTTTCAAACATTTGATTCTTAATTCTTCAGTTTTATCAACCATTTGTCAATTTGTTTTTCAGCCGTAGTTTGGGTTCTCTGCTGTAAACATCAAGTTTGTATTCAAATCCACCAATGTGCTAATCTCTTCCTAATCTTTCTCTTTCTCTGATATACCACAACCAAATGGTGTATATTGTAAGCTAGGGTTCCCGTAAGAAACTAAATAATTTTCTGGTCTTTTTCATGATTTAATCTATATGCAGATGTTCAATTCCAGCTCTGGTGACCTTTGGTTACCCTGTCTGTGAAAGAAAGTAAAATGGGCAGACAGGAGAGTTGGAAAGGTTAAATAAAATGACACCATAAAGTACTTCCACTGACTGAAACTTGGGCTTTTATGGTGCTTACATGCTGGCTCCACTATGGTTAGATGGTGTGGCCTGCCTTCCACTTGCATGACATCAGGCACAGTATTACTGTCTATTGTG